AAGTCACCACAAACACTAAATTAGTGGACACTGAATCATAGCTCCTAGGGGAAATACAGAGTTAGGTTCCTATAATCCTGTGTCACAACATTTTTGTTAGCCAATCAATACATAACTTTATCTGTGTTTCATTAACATTGAACTCGTAGCCAACAGCGGTTTAACTATAAATCATTAACTGTACCTCCATTCATGTCTAGCACACGTATTTTCTCCATGAGGCACATCACAGCCTTCTTGCACTTAGGAATACCTGACAGCACTTCAGCACTACACTTAGGGCCAACAGAAACCACACAAATGTGAAAAATGTGGCACTAAATAGATCACAAAAAGGACACAGTATGACAGCTAAAACAAGAAGGCAGAGCATTGCCTTGTTCAGCTACAGCTGGGTATGTGAGCCTCGGGCAACTCAAATTTTTCACTGCTGTGCACACGTCCATGAATGTTTGCAAAAGCACCGCAAGTATTAATTTTGGGTTTACCAATAAATTTTAGCAAGTAGGTGAATTCACAAATACGGAATCCATGAATAATGAGGATTGACTGTATTTCCGACCATCTGCGTCCTGGACAGCAATGTCACGTAACTTGAATGTGTTACCTCCGTAGGCACATTGAGCAACTGCTGACGCTTCTAACCTGTGGTGTTTTAAGCTATGCAACTCCAAGTGTGGTCCCTGACCTGCAATAGCATCTGGAAATTTGTTATAAATACAGGCTCTGGGAGCAGGGCCCAGGAATCTACGTTTTAATAAGATCTCCAGGATTCCTACACGCAGTAAAGATTGAGAAGCACTGATTTAAACCACACGCATGAAGCTTCTAGGATAGACACGGCCTGGGGGCAGGGTAAGAGGCAGCTAAGAAAGCGTTGATGCTCAGCTCTTACATCCCACCTTCTTTCAGACCCAAGTAAGCGTAGTTATTTCACAGTTGCAAAAGTCTTGGGTCTGTGGCCATACCCAAGAGAGGAAGTGATCATTTCTTGCTTTTTTTCTTTTTCTTTACCCCTCCAGGTGTGATCTACCATGGCTTTTCTCAGAAGGAGGCAAAGGAGTTCGATGTTCAGGTACAGTGCTTGGCAGGAGGTCTGGGAGCAAGCCAGGTGATGGCAGAGACAGCTCAGCTGTTTCGAAGCCTCTAATGCTGGTTTCGGTGCTCTTCCCCACGTCTTTCCCCTCACCTTTCTGGTAGGCTTGTTGGGCTTGGTCAGGGCCTGTAGTTCCGGCCTGTTTCCATATGCTGGCCTCTCTCCCGGGCGTGCCAAAGTAAAGCTCGGTCAGTTGGAACCTTGATCTCCTGTCATCTCCCGCTGTGTAGGGACTCCAGGCCGTGTCCACCTGAAACTTGCCCTGGTAAGCACCATCATTGGACCTTGTCACTGGCCCCTGTCACAGGCAGCCACATCACATTTCATCACTAGAATCAAAGTAGATGCGTCAAACA